ATTGTTTTTTAAAACAGTTTGTGACAGAGCCAACTAGGGGAAATAACCTCCTTGACTTGGTTCTTGCCAGTAGGGAAACACTAATTAATAATCTTGAGGTTAATGATGAGCTTGGGGAAAGTGATCACAAATCACTCAGTTTTAATATATCATGGAATTCCCCTAATAATGGCAATCAAGTCTACGTCCCTGACTTCCGCTTGGCTGATTTCATAGGACTGAAAAATTACTTAGGTGGGCTGAACTGGAATGACCTGACTAAGGGTCAGGTAGGTGGTGATGGTTGCCGATATGACGCTTTCCAGGGCATAGTTCTAGCTGCTCAGTCAAATTATGTTCCAAATAGGGAAATCAGATCAAACAAAAATGATCCTAAATGGATGAACAATAGATTAAAATATCTGATTGGTCAAAAGAGAGGCATATATAGGCAAATCAAAAGAGGAGAGGGGAAATTTAAAAGAAATCGATATATTCAGTTAAAGAGAGAAAAAAAAAAGGGGAATTAGAAAAGCAAAAAGAGTTTATGAGGCTAAAGTTGCAAGACAATCGAAGACTAACCCAAAAGGATTCTTTCGGGTTTAAAAAGAAGTAAGATCAGGGACAAGTGGGCCCCACTCAAAAGTTCCTCGGGTCAGCTCACTGACAGTGATGAGGAAATGTGTAGAATTTTTAAACATACTTCCTCTCAGATTTTACACAGGAGGATACCAGCGATATTCCAGAAATGATAAATTATGAGAACGGGGACGATAAAAAACGGTGCACGATTAGGGTCACAAGTGACATGGTCCTTAGGAAAATAGATAAATTAAAACCTAAACAAATCCCCAGGCCCTGATGAACTTATGCAAGGGTTCTAAAGAAATGTAAAGAGGGGGCTTAGCAAAACCTTTGGCTAATTTTTTCAACATATCACTACAAACTGGCATGGTGCCGATAAGTGGAAAATGGCAAATTTTGATAACCCATTTTCCCAAAACAGGTGACAGGTCCTTTTGCTCGAACTATAGACCAATAAGCCTAGCCTCCATAGTGGGAAAATTTATGGAATCAATAATTGCTGAGGCAGTTCCCTAGCCCCCTTGAAAAAGCATAAATTAATCAACAAATCTCAGCATGGTTTTACAAAGGGGCGTTCCCTTACGATTTATTAACTTTTTCACTAAGGCATTTGAGGAGGTAGATCATGGTAATGAATATGATATTGTGTATATGGACTTCAGTAAGGCTTCTGACAGGGTCCCACATCAGAGACTATTGAGGAAAATTAAGGCACATGGAATAGGAGAAATTTTTTCCTGGATAGAGGCATGGTTGACAGATAGGCAGCAGAGAGTTTGCATAAATGGGGAGAAATCAGAGTGGGGAAGCGTCACGAGCGGTGTTCCACAGGGGTCAGTGTTGGGCCCCCTGCTGTTCACAATCTACATAAACGACATAGATGAGGGCATAAAGAGCGACATCAGCAAGTTTGCCGATGACACCAAAATAGGCCGTCGAATTCATTCTGACGAGGACATTCGAGCACTCCAGGAAGATTTGAATAGACTGATGCAGTGGTCGGAGAAGTGGCAGATGCAGTTTAATATAGACAAATGCAAAGTTCTAAATGTTGGACAGGACAATAACCATGCCACATATAAACTAATAATGTAGATCTTAATATACGGATTGTGAAAAAGATCTAGGAGTTCTGGTTAGCAGTAATCTGAAACCAAGACAACAGTGCATAAGTGTTCGCAATAAAGCTAATAGAATCCTTGGCTTCATATCAAGAAGCATAAATAATAGGAGTCCTCAGGTTGTTCTTCAACTCTATACATCCTTGGTTAGGCCTCATTTAGATTATGCTGCACAGTTTTGGTCACCGTATTACAGAATGGATATAAATGCTCTGGAAAATGTACAATGGAGGATGACAAAGTTGATCCCATGTATCAGAAACCTTCCCTATGAGGATAGACTAAGGGCCCTGAATCTGCACTCTCTAGTAAGACGTAGAATTAGGGGGGATATGATTGAGGTGTATAAATGGAAGACAGGAATAAATAAAGGGGATGTAAATAGTGTGCTGAAAATATATAGCCTAGACAGGACTCGCAGCAATGGTTTTAAGTTGGAAAAATTCAGATTCAGGAAGGATATAAGAAAGTACTGGTTTGGTAATAGAGTTGTGGATGAGTGGAACAAACTCCCAAGTACAGTTATAGAGGCCAGAACGTTGTGTAGCTTTAAAAATAGGTTGGATAAATACATGAGTGGATGTGGGTGGGTGTGAGTTGGACCTGATAGCTTGTGCTACCAGGTCGGTTGCCGTGTTCCTCCCTTAAGTCAATGTGACCTGACCTGACTAGGTTGGGTGCATTGGCTTAAACCGGTGGGAGACTTGGACCTGCCTCTCATGGGCCAGTAGGCCTGCTTCAGTGTTCCTTCGTTCTTATGTTCTTATGTACGAGGCTTCAGCTTCATTGACTGTGTGACACTTTTCGTTGGTAGTGTGGATGGCAGACAAGAATGTGAGGTCACCCACCTCACGCCCCCCTCCCCCAGGCCACACATTACAGACGTTCGTGCGCGCGCTCATGTATACTCCCCAACAATGTAATTATTTTAATTATTGCCACCAACGGCGGCTTTTTATTATGCACCCTATGATCATCCTGTGCGCGGAAAAGAAACTTCAAAGGTCACTAAGCCACAGTATCAGCTCCCAGTGGATAGATAGTTCTAGCTATGAAGATCACTTGAGTCCGACTAGCAAGCCGGCGGTCGTTGAGTATGTCTCGCCGTGGGGGCAACAGCTGAATGAACTCCACGAGGACTTTTTTTACCTACTGAAAAGTAGGTAAGAAAGTCTTAATAATGAGAGTAAAGCAATTCATTGATCTCTTTTTCGATAATTAAAAAGAAACATGATTATTCTGTGAAATGAGCAATTCAGTTATATAGCTATGCAGCTGTGCTGTCAGAATTCATCCACATATTTAGAGGAAGAGAATGTCTATGGACTTTGTTCTACCGGTCGTCTCCCCATTGCAAGTATCTCTCAACACAAGAGTAGCAACGCGTGAGCTCTGTAATTCCATATATACAACACTCAAGTGATGAGCTCTAACACGTGTTTGAGGCATCCAGTGTTGACATAATGGGGGTCTTGGATTTTTGTGTACACATTTGCACGATTCTGGGGTCGAGTGATACTGACTAAGGCTTTAGGAAATCGGTGTTTGTGTTTTTTGCCCTCTAAGACAAGGGTAGGCTAGGTGAATATAGTCGTCACGTGAGGTCACAGACCCTGAGCTGCTTTGGGGATTAGTGTGGACGGTTACAAAGCATGGCTTGCTTCTGCAGTGTTTTAAAAATTGAGGTTGGAGAGTTGAAGGAGGAGGTCTTGCTTCTCCAGGAGGAGATTAGGAGGCTGAAAGTCCACCTCAATGGGTCTGGGAGAGAGTGTGAGGTGGCTGGAGTTGTGGGGAATGAGGCTTCAAGTGAGGTGCAGTCTGTCTCTCGCTGTGAGGAGGCTGTAGTTGGGGAGGTAGCAACGGCTACCAGCAGTGAGGTGCAGTCCAGCACCTGCTACAAGTGGCGAGTGGTTCACAGTAAATGGAAGCGCATCAGTTA